TCTATATATATATATATATATATATATATATATATATATATATATATATATATATATATATATATATATGTTGGATAGGAAAAAAAGGGAGAGGGAGAGGGAGAGAAAGAGAGAGAGAGAGAGAAAGATGCAACGGTATAAAAGTTCACTTTACGGGTTCATAAATTCATAATGTACGTAATCGAGTATCGGTTTTGCAAGCGCGGAAATCGAACTGACGTCGGGCAAGTCGCGACTCCCAGACTTCGACGTGCGTCTCCATCGCGACGCAAACTTCCATCCGACTTAAACTCAAGCCCTCAGATATTTATCTTTCGGGGGTGCACTTTGCGGAATTTTCAAAAACACAGCGATACTCGTTACCGGCCCGGCTGTGCTGGTTCCTCTCATAACGCGGCCGTCGTCGTTATCGTCCTGCCCGATAATGTTTACCCGGGGGAGGGTAAAAGGAGCACGCGCTTTTCCCTCCGGCAAATGGATTTTACTCCTCATTTCTTTTCCACGCGAGGACTTACCTCGGACTCTTATCACGATTCTACAGGTGCTGGTGTAATTAGAGACCGGCGACCAAGCCGTGAAGGTAACGATCGTCGTGCCCGGCGGCAGATCCGCTTGCAATTGCTTCGCCCACGGGGGTGAGGCGTGTACGTATCTGAAAAGGAAAAAGGAAGGGACGCAACAAGAAAAAATTACATGAGAGTTTAACGACAGTGATGCAACACGAGTAACGCGAGTGTGCGAGCAAGGCCGTGTTTAACCCTCGCGATAATTAACTCTCTACTACTTCACTGCGACTCTGAAATCATAATCCAGTCTCATCATTATTTATTTCCAATACGAATGTTATTTCTGCCTTGACTGATGCGAGAGTCACAATATAGCTGCCTTTTTTAGTATATTCACAGCAATAATAACTGTCCAACGTGAGTCACAAAGTTATTTTGGGAGAATAAAAAATTGGAAAAGTAAAATTTCACCTCTCTCTCTCATTATATGTGTCGAGTACTTTAGTTTTAAACATCCCATGTATATGAAAAATTTTTTAAATACGAGAAATTAATTTGGGCAATAGAGAGTTAAGCGCGCTCAGAGGGTGGACTCATCGGACACTCCCGTTGTATGTTCGCGAGACTGCGGAATGAATCCCGCATAGAAAATACTTTAGGATCTAATTGGGATCCAGTCTGATTTCCCACAATAATCATGGATTCTAGATGAGAAATCTTTCCAGATTCTGCCCAGAAGTGTAATGTTTTAAACATGAGAATTCAAGTAGGAAACCCAGACAGATCCCGTTTGGTCATACCTAACGTTTCCCCAAAGATATTTTTTGGTTTACATCAATGAAACTGATGCAGAAGGCACTTGAACAAGCTCGAGTTTTATAAATATTTCTGAGAGAAGAATGGGATTCCCAATTGATATCGTAGTGGGATAATCTATTTCGGAACAAAGTTGGGCATTCTGATTGGAAGCTAACTTGTATTTGGGAATATACTAAGAGATTTCTATGCGAGATGTGACGTTTCTAAAATAAAGCGTGTCTAAAGAGAAGGAGAGACGACAACGACGAATTTTACAAGCGTACCATAATATGAGCGCAAAATGTTATAGACTGTCCGACAATCAAACTCTCTAGAGCCGATCGTTCGTGCCGTTTTACAACGTATGAACGAACGTGTGTATGTGTGTGTGTGTGTGTGTGTATGTGTGTGCGCGTTTACGCGCGCACTCTCTCCTTACCTCCACCAGTTCATGTTGGACTTCGGTTGCGGGAACGTTACACGTATCGTATTTTGCCTAGCCGGTAGTTCGACGTCCATATCCTGGGGGCAGCTCACGAACGGTCGTGGCATGTCTACGGCGATAAAGTCGATTGTTAAATTCCCGATACAGCCCAATTCCCGTGGCCGTAGCCCGATAAGAAATTGCGTTGCGCGCAATTCCCCCCGACTGTCCCCCGCCCCCGTCATCGCGTCGTCGTACTCACATACTCCTAAGGAACGTTCTTTCGCGCTCCGGGAAAATATTACGTCGCGCGCAAAAATGCCTCCGTCTGGCGTGTTCGCTCTTCAAGTGTGCATGCAGGTGTGCATGCAGGTGTGCATGCATGTGTGTGTGCGCGTGCGTGCGTGCGTGCGTATGACGTGCAAGAACGTTTCCACGAAAAAGCTCCCGACATGGAATTTAAGCACGAATTCTCGACCGTTCGCAAATCGATCCTCTTATTAACCCTTTGCGGCATGATGGGTCGCTCAGCGACCCGCCTTTTCCCGCTCAGTTTTTAATTATTCCAACGGTATTTTCTGACGTGAAGTATCGGCTTTTTTGTGTTTTGGTGCTGCCTCTGGTACATGAACGAATGTAAGAAAAAAACTAGGCAAACGTAAATTTTTCTTTACACGATCACTGTAAATAATCAAATAAAGTATTTCTATTAAATTATTCTACTAAACTAATATCAAAACTAATATCTAAAATTTAGGCATTCTTTTAGGACAAGTATTCTCCAAAATTTTGGATTTTTTCGCCGCTCCGTTTTTCATTTTAATGATTTGAAAAATATGGAAAAATCAGTATTTTCTGTTGTAAATTTAAAGTAGTTTGAATATCTCTTGTAATAATGTTTTGGTGATTTTTTGGGTTCTAATCTGGATATCGGTTATATATCTTTTCTCTCAGCGTAAACTCGTGAAAAGTGAAAAGTTTCGCATGAAAATTTTCACATTTTCATTGTTCGAGAAGTTACACAATCGTAAAAGTTGTCGAGTTCACGTGAAACTTTTTGCTTTTCATATTTTTAAGAAAAAGTTACGTGGTTGTTATCCTGAAACCAGAATATTCAAATTCTTTGAAATCCAAGATGGTAGAACCGGTATGAAGCAGAATGAAGTTAGAAATTCTGACCTTTGATTCGTAATCAGCGACCCGAAAAATTCCCGAGTACAAAGTCCCGGAGAACTGGGTCTCAATACAAAAATTTGTGACACAAAGGGTTAACTGCGATGCTCGCAGATGACACGACGGGACGATCGTTGAAATTAAGCCCCGGCGTTGTGCGGTCTCCCCTTTTCGCGAAATCCCGTTGGAATTAAGCGCTCCCGCATAGAAAATACTTTAGGATCTAATTGGAATCTCCGGCTCGATTTCCCACAATAATCGTAGGTTTTAGATGGGAAATCTATGTAGGTTAGAAACGTAATGCTTTAAATATACGAATTTAAATGAAAAATCCAGACAGATTCTATTTGGTCATCTCCAACGTTTTCCCAAAATTGTTTTCTGATTTACATTTTTTAAACTAAGATTGAGCAAGATATATGAAACTATTCTGAATACTTACTAGTTACAAATATATATACACACATACTTATAAAGAGGAAGTATTCAAAGTATTTGAAATATTTTTCCCGAAAAATTCATATAAAATAAAAGAATATAGTTAAAATGAAACAATATTAATTTTCAATATTAATTTTCCAATAGAAATATTATATTTTTATTTTAGTAAAATGAATTTTTTAGTAAAAAACCTAAGTCAAATATATATATATGTGTGTGTGTGTGTGTGTGTGTGTATATGTATATATTTTACGTATATTTTTGAAAGACAAAAATATTTATATTATTTTACGTTTTAACATGGAACAATGTAAATCAGAGAAAATATTTATGTTGTTTTTATTGTGCATTAATAAAATACTGCAGAAAATACTTAAAAAAGCTCGAGTTTCCTTAATATTTCTGTTCTAGACAGACATGTTTGAAAAAGAATAGAATTCCCAATTGGTATCGTAGTGAGATAATCTATTTTGGGGCAAGAATGGGATTCCCAATTGGTATCATAGTAGGATAATTTGTTTTGGGACAAAGTTGGGCATTCTGATTGGAATCTAACTAGCCTTTGGGAGAATGCTAAGAAATTTCTATGCGGGTCGCGCATGAAGCGACCGAGTGGTTCGCACAATACCGATTTCGGGAGCGATTCCATATAAGATCCGCGTCATCAAAAAGGGATGCTTCGCGACGGAAGCTGACTTAAATACCCCGTTTGAGGAGTTTATCTCCCGGGCATTAGCGGACGCGCGCGCGGCCGCAAAAACTTGAAACGGCCACGGCGAGCGCGGAATCAAAATCTCCTTTTCATTAAACGAAACAATTAGCGCTACGGAGAAGAACCACGAAAATGCGCGCCCAGCTGAAAAAGCGGAAGCGAAAGGGTGGAGAACGAAACAGGGAGCGAAAAGAGCGGCACGTAAAAAGCCGTCGGCCCGAGTAAGCTCGTTAAGGGGCGGCGTTAACGTATGATCTCGTTAGCAGGCAGCCTCTCTCTACACACAGGAACTTTGTAATATTAAAAGCCGCTCCGACCGGCATGACTAATTTAACTGCGCCTGAGAATTTCCGCACACGGATAATTTGTCCCGGTCGCGCGGCGATATTTCAAGTTCGATCGCGCGTACCTTTCGCTCATGTAAATTAGGAAAGAAACGAGCGACGTAGCGGGAATTGAAAGAAAATTCCGCAGTGAACGTACTTTGCTCTTTCTTCCCTCTTTCACTCTCTCTCTCTCTCTCTCTCTCTCTCTCTCTCTCCCTCTCTCTCTCTCTCTCTCTCTCTCTCTCTCTCTCTCTCTCTCTTACCTAAGTCCTGACTAACGTTTTCCTAAGAGGAGCATGGCGGAAGAGTCGCCGTTGAAAAAACGTTGCGGGCACGTCGGTTCCGCTGAAACGGCCGGAAAGAGATCTCGCGAACGGTCGCGTCACAGTGGCGGCCGATAAATTTTTAATTGCAGCAATTACTTAAACTTTAAATTATTCCAGCCGTAACTCTCTCTTTCTCGTTACGAGACAAGCCGCAAGACTGCGGACAAGAGGAAGAGGGGGGGGGGGGGGAGGGGCG